CCAGGCACGGATCGCCTTGAATGCTCTGCATCACCAAAATCATCCCGCTATACAGAGGATGATCTCCAAACGCCACCTCAGCCTGATCAGCAACCGTCTTTACCAAGGCCGTCTGCTGGTGAACCGCTTTCCATTCTGGCCAGGATTTCGGGTCACCAACCCACATCCCGCCACATGGTTGAGCGGCCGGCTCCACACTACTGTCCACGGGTAGCGCAGTTCCGCCGCTCACGATGCCTTCCTCGCACGAGAAAACATCGCTGTAGGGAACCAAGAACGCAGGATCCGTTGGAACCGCAGCACACAAGATGGCCGCCAAATGCACGGCGTTCACTCCGTGACCAGCATCGCGGTGCTCCCCGATTATATGCACAACAAATATTTGGGGTATGCGCAGTACCTGTTCGGCAGCGTCTTCTGGCTTCTCTGTTTCGTTCACATGGCAGCCGCGCCATTGCAAAACCTCAGGACCCTCGCCAACTTCATCATGAGCTTCCAGAACCGCCACCGCCCACAACATGGCGAGCGCTACCCTGCCAGGACGCTGCGCAAACTGACAATGTTTGTGAAGAAGCGAGACTTTCCAAAGCTTCGCGGCAAAGCCGGTCAAATTCGGGGATTGGGAGACGCAATGATAGCGATGTGGAAGCGCTATGGGGGCTTGCACACCCGGGACGGTATCCGTATCAAGCTGTTGCTGGAACTCAGCCTGCAATGCGATGAGATCTTGGACTCGCATTCGCCTGCCGACGGGTACTGGGCACTGCCGCCCCCGAACGCAGCAGAGTTGGTGCGCAAACAACGACTGCTGGGTCAGCTGTACGTGCAGCTCTCAGAATCCTATGCTGCGCAGGAGGTCCGGGTGTCCAATATGTCAGCCAAGCTGCACTCTTGCCTTCACAGCGCGCTATGGGCTGACAAACTTCATCCCCATTTGGCCTGGTGCTGGCAAGGTGAGGACCTCATGGGCCGCATTTCCACCTTGATTAGCAGCTGTGTGAGCGGCCGGACGGACGTATCTGCCACCTTGAAGGCGGCAGAAAAGTATGGGCTGGCTTGCCACTATATGTGGTCTGCTGCTGACGGGCCGCGTCGCCTTGAAGGCCACTAAAAGGTACAGGATGCCCAGTCTGCCTTTTTTGTCAAACCTGCTGCAGCTGCAAAATTGAAGGGCTTTCTGCTCGTGTTGCATTTGTCCTCTGCGCCTTCACAGTTTTGGGCTGCCAGTTGCGCCTGCCCACACTCACAGTTGTAGACCGTGGAAAGCCTTGTATGTTGCCGCTTGTGCACGTCACAGCGCTTCTGCTGCGGAGTCGCTATATAAGCTCCCCCACCGCATGTACACTATGTATAGTGGCACAGCCACCGCCGCTTGTACGACCGGCCACTCATGTATATAAAAAGAAATGCGCTGGACGCTTGTGCTGCACCTGCCCACACTCACAGTTGTATACCGTGGAAAGCCTTGTATGTTGCCGCTTGTGCACGTCACAGCACTTCTGCTGCGGAGTCGCTATATAAGCTCCCCCACCGCATGTTCACTATGTATAGTGGCACAGCCACCGCCGCTTGTACGACCGGCCACTCATGCATATAAAAAGAAATGCGCTGGACGCTTGTACTGTGCGGAGCCGGCGTTTACAGGGTTGCATCACGTGCCAGTTTTGAATTGTGGGCGGCCCACGTGTGAAACATCTGTTTGCTTCCCACTTGCATTGTGCGCAGATCATATAGCAAATGTGGACTTGTATACGGGCATGCCCAGCATTTCCAACGCTTGTGCTGCCGGCCGCCCCGTGGGTTTTGCGAAGCTTCCCTCTTGTATTTGTACCATTTTTTGCGCGCGCTTGTGCGGATTCCCTTGCAGTAACGAATAGTTGGCAGTGTTGGTTCCAAGCAAAAATCTATGGACATTGAGACTAAATTGAAGCTAATTTGAGGCTAAATAATGTTTCAACATAAATTTAGCCTCGCCTTATTTAGACTCATTTTGAGTCTAAATTCTTGTAGGAGTCTAAATCGCATCCGAGGCTATTTTTAGACTCAAAGGAACTTTCAGGTAGGCCTATCGGCATCAGTCTCCTGTTTCACGCTACTGCCCCAGCCTGCGGTTGATGTTAACATGGCCTCGTATCCGATGCCTGTAAACGTCCTCTCAGCGTGCTCATAGAACCAGTGGATCGACCCGAGATATCGCTCGGAGTGTCCCCGAGCTCATCCGAGGCCTGCGATTCACCTGGAACAAGAGACCTTGGGGATCGGGTGGGCATGGCCTCCGGGTCGTCCGAATGAGGGCGGGCCATGTTCATCGCCAAGCTGATGAAGTCCAAATGTCCATGCCTGAAACCTGGTTCGGAGCCGCCCCTATCGGGACGAGCTCTTTGTCCTTGCTCATCATCAGTGGCCTGATCGTCAGTGAACCTGCCACGGCTTCTGGGTGTGTCCCGCTCATCATCACTCCTTCGATCCTGACCTGCTGAACCTGCCTCAAATTCCTCGA